TAATTTCTACCGGAAATTAACAAACAAGCAGATACGTAACAATATAATATCTGAAGAAGCACTCTTAACATTTTCAGATGATTTACAATTTTAATGTTTCACATTATTTCAATATACATACTATTATATACTGAAATGATTTTACAATATTTACATCTCTAGGGAATTATAAAAATGTATGCATAAGATAACGTGTTTTTCAAGTTAAACTACACCTGAGATGGAGAATTAATACCTAAATTTAGATAAAATGGAAATGGTACTACTTAATTTCAACTGTTCTCACAAACTGGTTTTGACCAATAAGCGATATCTAATAACTTATTCAAGTTTGTTCACCAATCACATTCTTACGCTTCCTTGTGAAGAAATAAAGTGGTTTGGGTATCCTTTAAGTCTCACCTGTACGTCTTGACTTTTTCTATTTAGTTCAGACTCAAGAATTGAACATATATAAAACTGGTCTATATTATTTATATATCCTTTTATCAAAATATTAGGTAGATGTTACGATTCTCTGAGAAACAATTCATGAAAATCTAAAATGAGTACAAGGTAGCTCACTACCAACACTATGACGTAGCAAATGAAATGACGAGCATGCGCAGTAAGGTATCTTGTACGTAGAGTTATTAATATATTATAAATATTCAGTCGCACGGTCTACTTTTTAGAATTGTAATTTACTCATAAGTAGTTTGTTTTTAAGCACAAAGCTACAAAAAGGGATATCTATGCTCTGCCCACCACGGGTATCGAAACTCGGTTTCGAGCGTTATAAATCCGGAGACATACCGCTGTGCCACTGGGGGGGGGGGGGGCTCATAAATAGTAAATGACTAGCTATTGAGCTGCTAATTACTTAAGGCTTTATGCGTAGTATCTGTGAGTTATTTGATAATACCAGCACTTGGTTCTTGTATGAAGCATTAGTTTCTAAAATAGATTTGTCGCCTAAGGAAAATAGCATAAGACGTAAAAATGTGAAAATAAGTTTAAAGTTCCAATTATATAGATTAACTTAGCTAAGTTATCACTGATAATAACTTGTTTGTCATAGGTAAAATTTGTTGAACCTCACTACAAAATCAAACTATT